TATATACACACACACATATCAGTGTCTGACACTATGCAGTAGGACTTGAAAAAATATTATGTCCAAAACATTGTGGTGATTGCACAGCATTGCCAGTGTGTGGATCTGTTATTTTGCATTGGTTGAAGAAGAACTGGATCTCAAATCTTTAGCGAAAAAAACCTTGTCCTCACCCCAGACTAAACACTAGTCTGACCACTGGGCCAACCCTATTCCTAGGCTGTGTCCTAGCCCAACCTACAACAAGAAAAAATAACTGCAATGAAAAGCCATATATTGCTTAATCACTGTCCTTACAACAGCAGGAACTGTTCTGATAGGATCTTGCAGGATTTACTGCCAAGAGGAAAAGAACACTGCACTGTAGCACTATGCATTTTGGGCAATATTTTCTTATTGAATAGTTCCTATTTTAGATTTAACAGAATTAAAGGGGAGAACAATTTTGACTATACCTGTATTATAATTTTACAGATAATAATAATGAGTTATTTGGAATGTGTATAGGGGTGCCATTATGAGCAAAATGCAAGTGTTGTAATACACTAGGTTTTATAGTGCACATAACCTATGGGGTTGATTCACTAAAGGCGAATAAGCTGTTTACTTCCCATAGCGTATTAAATGTGTTAAAAATTAACTTTGCAAAGAATACAAATTAAATATCAGCATGTCAGGGGAAAAAAACAGTATTTTTGTCCGCAGAGCTTCACTTAATTATCTATGCTAAGAGAAAATGCGAAGTGAACAGAATATAAGCGGCGATGATGTGACATCTGTCTTTAAACTTAATTTACAACAGGAAAGATTTGCACTGCCTAAATAAAGAAAACCCTATTATAAATATAGCAGTGTACTGAAATACAAAAAACTGCAGCACAAAATTGTTGAGCTACGGAACATGACCACCGGTTATGAAAGTATGTGGCAACCCCAAAACATGTAGGAGAGTAGTTTGTTTTAGGTAACCTATTGGGAACCAGGTACTATGTAGATAGTAGTATGAACTCTGTTTCCACTGCCAGAACATTGAGGAGACAAGATTCTAATAATGGTTTTATATATAGGAAATACAAATGAGCAATACAGATAAGATATTGAATATATACAATTTAAGGAAGGATTGAATAATATGCAGTGTATACAGTTTTATGCTGGGATATGTTTTCCCCTGGGAGCGATCTTTTTCATCATTGAGTAAGGTCTAAAAGTGCTGATGTGCCGAATATATCTGGATATCAACATCTATTAGGTAATAACATCTAAGATTGTTGATCCAGTGAATATTTGATTGCCTAGGGGATTAGGAAGGACTTTTTCCCCTGTTGCAAATATAACCATGTTTTATAGGGTCTTTTTGCCTTCCTATGGATGTGAGTAAATGTGAGTAAATTTAAGTATAGAGTTCTATTTTTAGAGGTTTTCTATGTATTAATTAATTTTATTTTCTCTATGGGTTGAACTCGATGGATTTTTTCAGCCTGACTAACTATTTAAAACTGAAAGTCCAAGAATATCTGGGAAAATTTTACATATTGAATAACTGTGGGTACCTTTTAACCATGGATGATATAATTATGCATAAACTGGAATTGTACTATCAATAATGTTAGACTTGTCTTCCTGTAACATTTTATTAGACATAGGTGATTTCCTTTCAAATACTTCAGTATGCTACAATAATTACATCTGCTGACATGCTTTCTTACCTTGGACATTAAATACTGACAGTTGCCATGGAATGAGTATTTTCTGCCATCGTATGTGTGCATGTGAGCTCCTCCTTTCAGAGTACAGTTTCCAGAGCAGGCAATTTGAGAACAAGTCCACTGACCCAAAATACAAGTGCTAAAAGGCAAAAAAGATTTTGTTAAATTCTTGGAATGAGTCACCATAGTAATCTTCAACCAAAGTTTGACTGAGCTTACACAGGGCTTCCTGTCCTTACTCACAGAGGCTGAATGAGTAGGGAAACAAAGAATAGATAAGTATGTGTTGTTGGTTGGGGGCATTAAAACAGTTTTGCAGTTCATGGATAAAGGTATAGGTTTTGCGTTTAGGCTACTACATTTTCTCAAGACTGAGATATACAATGTAATTCATAAAGAACCAACAGAGATGAATTACATATACAGTGACAACTTGCAAATGTGAGTTAACTACACACAAATGCAGCTGTACCAAAGCAGCAGGAATTGTTTCCTTGTCTCTTTTCTGCATGTATTTTAAAAGCAGAACTCCAGGCAAATCAAATCTTAACTCTTGCAGTACCAGTAAGTGGTTTTTCCATAGTCCCGGGCCCCCCAGAGAAGAGGGAGAGCCCAGAAGCTGCATCTAGCAGCTGTAATGCCATGCAAATATGCTGAGTGAACCATTATAAATAGAGTCCTGTGTCTTTGAACACCCATCTCTACTACAGCTCCCTAGTAGATAGCACAAGTTGTAGAGGGAAGCACAAACTTTTTTTAAATTAAATGAAAAGATAAACACTGTTCTTTTTTGATTGGTGCCAGGGAAGCATGTGGCAATGGACATTTGTCAATTGGACTTGTACTGGATCATCAGAAAAGACGTATACAAGTAGCCTCCTCTCCTCTCCACCTGTACCCAAATGCTACAGTATGGTTGACGGCTATCCCTTGTCATAACCTGAACATCAATCATACCATATCTACTGTATTATGCTAGAAAATTTCCTCACCTTCCTGAAGAAGAGTAAATGTGAAACGCGTCAAATGTTGGACTACTACAAAGTATAATAAAGTATAACCATCCTGTTCAAAAATGTGTGAGATATAAGCAATTACTATTGTATCTCTGTGGGTAGCAATTCTATGTGGACTATAACCAATCTATGGTCTGATATGGTTGTGAAACAATATTTTGTGTTTTTTCATTTGTTTTGTTTTGATGAGGTTTTAAGATGTCTTAATAAGTGAATCCTGGGGCCAAAGCTATGGCCGAAGGATCAGCCAAAGCTACGGTTTCCGGAAGGTCTGGGATACTTAGCTTATTTATACATCCACTCAGTCATTTTCAGGGTTAATCACAAAGGGTGAAGAGTTTGGAGAAGGCAGGAGAAGTGAACAATCTAGGACAAAATAGCGGATTTGGAAACATTCTCCACTTTCCAGTTGTCACGGACATTCCCAGCGTCTGGCCCGCAGATCCCGAGCCCTCCTCCAGCTCAGACGTCACGGAGTGACGTCAAGCTCCGCCCACGGCCGCCGGCTCCCTCCTTAAAAGCGAGGGAGATTCAATTGCTCGGCGTTCAGTCAATGGAGACTGTACGCTGAGCAATTGCTCTCATACCCCCAACTGAACTGCCACAACCCTGCTGGTTACAACCGTGAACCCTCACAGGAGTGAAGAAATCGATCGTCCGCACAGCTTACCTCTCTCCCGTCTGGCAAAGACTGCACTGCTCAGCTCAAACTGCAAGTATTCCGGATTACAGACTGTGATCATTGTACAGAGATACACTATCGCCATCTGCTGGTTCCACTACATATTGCACCCTCCTATACAACTGCTTGTAATCTGGACTCACACTGGGTATATGTGCAGCTCCCTAAAGGCAATTGCACAGGGGTTCTATTCATAAGTTGTGCTGAATTATAAGTTAACCCTTGGTTGTGGGTACTGTATTTAATTACCTTGTATGTGGTAATACACTGGTAAATCCCTCTATTGTTTTCAGTGGTAAATGATGCTTGTGGGAACTGCGCCCCCTCACTACACCTAAGAGGGTTAAAGCAGCATCCCCAATCTGAACCACTTCCTCCTCATATTGGGGAAAGCCCTGAGGTCCCTACTTGAGCTCCATAGGAAGGGGGTAGAGTTTTACAGATTGACTGAACCAAGTAAAATGGAGCAACCAGATTTGACCAACCATATCATTGGCCTCACGCAGAGAGTGGATGACTTGTCTAAAACAGTCGCAAACCTCCACCTTGAAAATCAGAAGTTACGTACATACATAACTGACAAAATGGCTGCAAGAGCTCTTCATCAAGAGGGCCCAGAGCCAAAGGTTAGCCCTCCTGACCTGTTCTCAGGGGATCGTACCGCTTACCGAGACTTCATCAGTGCGTGCAAACTTATGTTTTCCTTAAAACCGAAGACCTACCCAAATGATGGAGTTAAAGTACGGACCATGATCTCGTACTTGAGGGGGGAACCAAGGGCGTGGGCAAACACTTACCTAGAGAGGGAGGATCCCGTCCTTGATTCTTTTCACCGATTCCTACAGGAGATGTCCCTTCTATACAATGACACCAGTAAGCAGCTTACAGCTGAGATGGTCATCCGCAAACTTAAACAGGGAAGGCGCCCTGTAGAAGATTATATAGCGGAGTTTAAAAGATGGACGATCGACACGGAATGGAACGAGATCAGCCTGAGGAATTAGTTCCGACTAGGACTTTCAGACGCCATAAAAGACGAAGTGGCCCGATCAGATCTCCCCTCTACACTAGATGGCCTCATCCAATCGGCTATTTCCATTGATCGTCGACTCAGAGAGCGAAGGGCAGAACGTGCCACGGGGTTTTCCTCAGCACCCCGTAAGGTGGTACGAGAGTCGGCTGAGGAACCAATGGAGATTGGTAACATAAGAGGCCCCCTGACCGCGACTGAAAGGCTGCGCAGACGACAACAGAAACTCTGTATGTACTGTGTATCTGCAGAGCATATGGTTGACGAATGTCCCCTAATCCGGAAGAAACTGGAGGGTAAGTCCTCTTCCCTCTGTAACCCTAGCCGTATCAGGAGTAGCCCTGCAACTTACATGTTCTTGTCTTTAACCTTACAGTGGGAACAAAACCGTATCCACGTGGAGGCCATGATTGACTCCGGAGCCTGCGGCATATTCATAGACTCCCAGTTTGTGAACCGCAATAAAATTCCCACTTATTCAAAAGCAATTCCAGTGTCTGTCAGCTTCATTGATGGGTCCACCTTGTCCTCTGGTCCCATTACATTGCAAACACAACCACTACAGGTTATAGGCCCTGCTAATCATGTAGAACACATAGCATTTGACGTCATCCCTTCTCCTGTTTTTCCCGTTATTCTAGGGCTGCCATGGTTAAAACAACACCAACCTTCGATTGATTGGGCTCAGGGTCATGTAAAGTTGGACTCCCCATACTGTAGGGACACCTGCTACCTCAACCTTCCCATCTTCCAGGTCGAGGCTGGCAGTGTGCCGCACCAGTATCGGGACTTTTCAGATGTGTTCTGCAAAAAAAGAGCAGACACCCTACCACCACACCGGGAGTACGATTGCCCTATCGATCTGGTACCGGGTAGCACCATTCCAGTGGGCAGGATCTACCCACTGTCTGAGCCAGAACTTGCACATTTAAAAACTTACCTTGAAGAAAACCTCAAGAAAGGGTTTATCCGACCCTCCACGTCACCTGCAGGGGCTGCTATGTTCTTTGTGCGCAACAAGGACCTGAGTCTCCGACCTATCATTGATTACCGGGGTCTAAACATGATTACGGTGAAGAATAGATATCCGCTTCCCCTCATCCCGGAACTTATTGAGAGACTTAGCACTTCTCAGATCTATACTAAATTAGACCTCGAGGGGGCATATAATCTCGTAAGGATTAAGGAGGGAGATGAGTGGAAAACTGCCTTCAGAACAAGATACCGGTTATTTGAGTACACTGGCATGCCCTTTGGGTTATGCAATGCCCCAGCCACCTTCCAGAGGTTCATAAATGACATCTTCAGAGATCTCTTGGATGTCTGCGTCGTCATCTATCTGGATGACATCCTGATTTACTCGGACAACCTCGAAATCCATAGAAAACATGTTCGCTGGGTGTTATCACGCCTACGCGTTCATAACTTGTACGCTAAACTTGAAAAATGTTTATTTGAAACAACTACTGTTCCTTTCCTTGGATATATTATATCCCCAGATGGAATTAAGATGGATACCGCTAAAGTTGACTGCGTGCTAAACTGTCCGACGCCCCACTCCCTTAAAGCCCTTCAAAGGTTTTTGGGATTTTCAAACTTCTACAGGAAATTTATAGTAAATTTCTCCCAAGTGGTCAAACCTCTCTCCAGACTGACCAGTTCCAAGATCAAATTCAAGTGGCCCACATGCCCAGGCGGCTTTCGAGGAGTTGAAAAGCAGGTTTACCACCGCTCCTATACTACACCTACCGGATCCCCAGGCCTTCTATGTCCTGGAGGTGGATGCTTCTCACTCTGCTATAGGAGCAATTCTTTCTCAAAGGAAGTCCCTAAACTCCCCGATCCACCCAGTGGCCTTTGCATCACGATCATTGTCTCCTTCAGAAATTAACTACCCTATTGGGGAGAAGGAATTACTCGCTGTAAAACATGCCCTGGAAACCTGGCGGCATCTACTGGAGGGTGCTCAAAACCCTGTCACTATTTACACGGATCACCAGAACCTTCAGTATCTTCAGGTGAACAAAACCCTTTCCTCTAGACAACTCCGATGGAGTCTCTTCTTCAGTAGGTTTAACTCCATAGGAAGGGGGTAGAGTTTTACACCAGTTCAGCTATGTTGTCCTAGATTGTTCACTTCTCCTGCCTTCTCCAAACTCTTCACCCTTTTGTGAATAACCCTTTATATATATGAATTTTTAAACTCATGAAAATTACCCCACAGCTACCAACTCTCCCAGTTTTCCTTTTCTTCTTGTTTTATTAAATATTTATGAAAATACTATATACTTTTTACACACTTATGTAACACATGCTTGTTTTCTAATTGAAACAGAAGAAGAAAAAAAACGACAGTTGCTTTTTTGTCATGCAGATCCAATGAATTAATTACTTTCTGAATCACTGACTTGCAATAAATATGCAGATTGGGGTTCTGATTTCACTCTGACTTGCTTTACTGCATGCTTGTTCAAAGTCAGTTACTTAGACTGAGACAGGCAACTAGCATTTTTAAAATGAGGTCACTGATAGTCACAATGTTGTCACTGATAAAGATATAAGTACTTTGCAGAAAATATGCATGGTGAAAAGCTGCTTTGTTTTCAGCTTTCTCTGGTATTTTCCCTAATATACCAACAAAAAGCATGTTTAACTGTACCATTTCAGGCATCCAGCAGTGTAAGACTCTCCAGGCTTGTACATTTTGGTATTGTGAACACAAGGGCAGAGTCGTTGTTCAATGCAGACCTTGCGATGATTCACATCATCGAGGACGGTACCTGCAATAAGAATTAAGTCAACATGGAAGTATAAAAGTATATGAGTTTCCTACTAAGACAGGACCATGGAAAACTTAACTGTCAAAATGATTACCATATCTGCTGATGAATACCTGGACACTATCTGAAGTACAACTGTCCAAGACCATCTAGAGCTAGACATACCAACAAAGCATCCTTTTTAACAAAATATGTAAATATTTGTATAGACAGATTACATTTCTTGATCCTACAGACACACACCAATTGTCGTCATTACCCAAGAGGGTGAACCTCATTTGTATAACACATTTCCACTTGCAGGCACTCTTTAGAACTGTGTTGCGCCTCTGCATGACAAATGTTGATGCATGCCACAAATCTGTCGCATGGAGGCATGGTGCCTTACTGTGCCTTAGTGTGCTTTACTTACTACTGACCACTGAACAATGTGCTACTTACTACTGACCTTTGAACTCTGCATTTCATATGTTTGACCCCTAAACTCTACTTATTACTGTCCTTTTGTTAGATCAGTATTTAAATAATTAAAGGAGAACTATGAGGTGAGTGGTTTTTACTCAACCTCATAGTTCGAGCTGACGTGTGACAATTAAACTGTCACACATTGGCTCTATAGATCAGAAAGTGAGCGAACATATACTGTCGTTCGCTCACTTTCCGGTCATCTCTCTGCAGAGAGAGGTGACTGTCAGTCACCGCTCCCCGCAGGGATTCCCCCCCCCCGCTCCGATCCTCCAGCACTGACTGGGGGGGAGGGGGCGGGAAAAGCTGGCTCTGCCTCTAGATAGGCAGAGCCCGCTGTCACTCACGCGGATGGGTGGATCTTGAAAGCGTTGTCGGGATCCGTACCGGCTGCTGCGCTCTTAGTATATCACGGGCAATAGCACTGCTATATACTAAGCTTTGGGTCAAAGAAGGACACTACTATATGTTCTCCCATGACCCTTAAGAGAACTATGGGATAAAAAGGTAATCCATAGCTCTCTTTTAAGCACAAAATTCTAAGCCATATTTCACAGCAAATAAAAAGATTTGAGCCTCCAACCATGATTTTCTGTGATATTTGCACTACTCTTTTTGAAAGTGAATACAAATCAACAGAAAATATTTTTTTTTCTTTTTTAGATTGTGCTTATGCAATTGCATTTTGGCAATCGACTAGGTATTGGCCAACATAATTTTCTGCAGAGTCCCCTCAGACTTTAGTAGTTGAACTAGAGTTTTTTTGGGGGAATTAGCTTAGACCATAAAATTAAAATCACATGTGTGCAT